TTATTTATGTAGTAGCTGCAATTTTTATTAAAGTACACACATAGATTGGCATTATTATGTAAATGATTTTGAATATACATTGGCCAGGAACCAAATTTCTTCGTGAAACTAAATCCTACTGAAAATGAGGTCGCGACTGCACAACTCGAAGACTATCTATTACAACATAATATTTTTTTCCGAAATAATGAAGGAAAATAATTTTGAATTTATGTGGAGATATTAAATTATTACTCCAGATGAATTTTGTGATGTATAAACAATAGGATTATATGATGATGCGTGGTAGGTTATATGAACGTAGTTTTTAAGATTTAATTTATTTTTTCGCTGAAGATGATCGTATTGAAAAGTTTGAAACATATATGTATGTATAATTTGTTTTCTTTGTGAAATAATAATGTAGCTGATAATACCTAGCTTAAGATTCGAATAATCCGTTTATTTCAATTGTATTTTGAATTTTATTATATATTCATTTGAGCTATTAGAGAATATATTATTATTAATTTATTTATATATATTTTATGAGAGAGACAAGAAAGCATTTGATTATAATGGAGAAATCGAAGATTGACTTTTCACTGTTCGCTTTTTACTATTAATTAGCTCTATAATTAAACTGCATAATTAGTTCAAACATCAAAATGATAGTTTTTATTGCATTCATACATATCGGAGCAATTAAATATTTGTATACAGTATTGTTATACAGATATAATACAATAACATGCAATGCAATTAGCATCGTTGTCATTGATTGTCGTAAATTCACATTGTATGACGTTCAAAAAATTCAATAGACTTTAAAGTTAGTTATTACTTTTAAGCAGTCTATATAGTTCCACCACTACTTGACAAGGAACGGGTTGTAATTATAAAAAAAAATACAGAGACGAACTTGAATTTCCATTGGCGAGATGATCCAAAAACAATATCGCACTACGTTCAAAGGATGTTTTAAGGTAGATAGTTTAATGCTTTTACGCTAAAGTACAAAATAAAACGTCTTTTTATATATATATATATATATCTTTATATACAGGGTGTATCATTTTAATTGACGCACTAAAATATCTCTTCAATAGTACATTTTAGAGAAAAATATTTCGGACAAAAGTTATATGATTCGGAGGAGGACATAAGAAGGTACCATTGATTTGACCTTGGGTGCCGTCGCCAAGGTCAGGTCGATTTTTTTAAATGGAATGGACTATTTTTCATTACATTTTCTTGTAGCTTACCTCGAGAGCTTTTCAAAATACTATAATAAAATATTTTTTCATTAAGTATTTTTCGAGTTATAAGACGAGGGTACAGTACAATTGGTAATAGCATTACGCAATTCGACCGACGACTAAAACCTCTTGAATGTTGTTCAGGATCATGTCTTGGATAACATTTCTCAAGATCAAGACCATTGAAGATTATTCCTCTTATTTTCATTTTTGCACTAAAAATTCATTTTTACGTAAAATGACACCCTGTATATATATTTTGTAGATATATATATCTTTGTAGCTATATATATATCTTTGGATATATATATGTATATATCTACGACAAAATTATAGTTTCCGCAGTTTCGTGTCCGGGCCTAGAGCGCTCTAATATATCAGAGTATTTTATAGCAATAATAATTTTTAATTTATTTTATAGATTAAAAAATGATTCTATTTTAAAAAATAGATATTTTTAGCATCATTTTGGTGTTTGTTTTAAACATTTATATTTAAATATTTTAAATCAAAATTATCTTGACAACTCATTTTCTTTCTTCATAAAGCATTATAAAAATTTTAAGAAAAATATCAAATCCAATTCAGCTTCTAATTTGACTCTATTGATTATATACGTATAAAGTCTGTTGTACAAATGCGGTTTTTCTAAACACGAAATCCAGCTTTGAAAATTTGATATCCGAAAAGATAAAGATTTCTATTAAGAATAGAAAGCTTTTATCTTTTAAATATTAAATGATTCTTCAATCATTTCTATTCTTTCTGGCAAAGAATCCTTTATTATGTATTTATTGCATATATATTGCGAGTTATATTACTCAAACACCTTGTTTTCTGTACGTACAATAGTTATAAGTTAGCAAACGAGATTTAGCGAGAGAACTCGTGTCGTTCTACTTAGCGAGAGTCCTTTTTGTTTTCCCTAAGAAACATCTCTACCTGGCAAAGTTCTCTCCTGTGGAGCGTCCTATATGCGGTACAAAAGAAACTGACGTCACTCTTTGAAAGTTAAATATCGAGGAAGTTAATAGCGTAACGACTTAGCTTTTAAATAATTAACGTTAAGTTGCCGAGACTAAAATTTTCGTTTTGCTTTTACCCTTTTGATACGCTACGAGTTCCATATAGAAGCTCGCGTGGCAAAGGCAAATGATACAATTTTTAATACTGTAAAACTACAATCGTCGAAAGTATCTTGTAATTAGGATTCAAACAAAAGATTCGAACATGTTGAATATTCGATCTATTCGAATAGTTCGAAGTTTAAAAAAATGAGCATCTAATTCGAATATTTCGGACAGTTCGAACAGCTCGAACTTAAGCAGTGATCAGTATAAAATGTCAATTCGTTATGTCCGAAGTTCGCAAACTGAGTTCATTCTCCTTCACATCTTTCATCAGGTATGTTATTGAAATATCCTGTAGGAGAATAAAACTTATATATGATTACGGTGACCATACGTCCTTTATTGTAAAGGACAGTCCTTTATTTTAGGTAGCTGTCCTTTAGATTTATTTGTTTCTTCAAAATTCAATTTTGTCCTTTATTTTGACATTATGGGAAATTCTTTTCTAACTAACGTTCCAATGTCTATAATATTATATCAATGAGCAAATTTTTACGGGAAATATCTTATAATTTTATGCATATAAATACAATTTGTTTTTGTTAATTATATTTCTTAATTTTTTAAATTAAATTTATTCAAACTAGAGTTGTTTTCATTTTTTATTATTTCGGACCTTATTTCGAACCTTTTATTATTTCAGATCAAAAGTTTGTTCCAATACAGTCGAATCAGTTTCGAACTATCAGAAAACTGTGCATTATCTCTATTTAATTATACTGTGCAATAAAACGTTATAATAAACAAATTTTTGATAATCACGAACTGGTTTAAAAATATGTAGGGACAAAATCCTTTCAGATTTGTCTTTTATTTTCTTTAAGAAAATATGGTCACCGTATATATATGATGTATGTTTCGCTTGACAATACTCCCCGACAATTGTTCGATCTTCGCAAATGTCAATCTCAATCTAGTGACAGTACATCATTGGCGTATTCTCGTTGAACCGTAATGCTTTTCAAAACATGTTTCACATTGTTACGTCGGTTTATGTTATAGGTTTAGCGGAATTTATTTATTCATTACAAGAAAATGTGTACGATGAGACGAGAATTATCTATGATAATTAGAAATAATAATTTTAAACTTCGTTTAAGTACAATTTTATAACTATTTTATATATTTTATATTAGGCATGAAGACTCAACCCTAATTGTTTTAAGGCTCTTCTGCTTATCCAGTTTTATAACTGTTACAGAAATATTCAGACTTAACTAATATTTTCTTATACAAGGTATATGTATAAAGAAAGAATCGACTAAACTTTTCCAGCATGTTTGGCAAATCATTTTATATCGAAACTATATTGATATAAATATACAGGATGTCCCATTTTAAATAATGCACTAAGATTTCTCTAAAAAACTAGATAACTGGTAGATACAATTTACGTAAAAATAAATTTTTAGTGCAAAAATGAAATATACCTATATATATAATATATATGCAAAGCAATTTCATATACTCCACGAAAACTATCTGTAGGCACGTGGCCTGCGCTCGAGAATTGTTTTTTATCAGTCTCGTTTCCAAAATTCCGCTGCACTAATTTTTCGAATAACGGTGCGTATGACAGTCGAAGCACATACTCACGCATTACATGCGGTATTATGATCGGAAAACAATGTAGCGCGGGGTTGGAGGGCAAGGATAGTGCAGTCAAATGTGATCGTGGTACGACGACGCCTTGAAGACGAGAGAATCGCTCGAAAGACAAGAGTAGGTCGACGGCGTGATGCCTCCCGCCAGAGGGTAAGCGCGAGAAAAGGGTGGCATGGCTCTCTCGCGCTCGCTCGTGGTGGGGTTGACGTGGCGCGGAGGGTTGGTTCCCGCCGCGTAATCGCATCGCATGCAGTGGCCTGGCGTGAGTTCGCGCGAGCGCGTCGCATAGAAAATTGTGAACCTACATTGTCAGAGGAAACGTTTAGTGAATCTTGTCTTGGGGTTTATAGCGTGTGAATTCTCCTTCCTTTCGGATCTCGTCTTCGTTGTCTGTCTCGTTCATTCTCAGTCTCCGTACGCGGAACATTATGCTCGCGGTCGACGAGCGCGTTCGCGTTATCTGCGATAGAAACGGCATTCTTATCAACGATGAGGCTGCGGCTGACTCTCGATTAGCTGGCCGCGCGGAGAGCCTTTGACACCTTGGTTGTCAGCCGAACTTTTAGCGCGACATCACTACCATTGAATTTTAGTCAATCGTAGGAACAGCTTCGAAAAGTGTAACAGGAGTATTTCTCCTTATTCCCACCTTTGGCCTTCTTATTGTCAAAGCCTCGCATTTTGTCCCGACCTAAATCTCGTAGATCTCATCGTTCATACGGATCTTTCGCCCTCCTCTCCGAGAACTGTTCTCGTAAGTGAAGTGTCGATCGCGAACCTTGTAAGTGTGGATTTTCTTGGTGTAAAATAAAATATCCCCTCCTCTCCTCTTCCTCTCTCTCTATCTCTTTTCTCTCTCTCT